AACTTCTTGGAAACCCTGTACAGGGTCATTGTGAGTAGAACCAACTGGATCGCATTTAACAACAAAAACCACAATCTAGAGCTCAGGTCTTTAGCTGAAAAAAGAAGACTGTGGAACCATATGCTTGTTAAAATCCTTTCCTGTTCTATACTTCAGAATGTGATGAGCGGTAAACTTATTTGTCTGAGTTCCAAATACCCAGTTCTGCTTTTCCTATGCTGGTAGTTTTGATTTGCTCTGATAACAATTAAGAGTAAGGTACTGTGAGGGGAGCTGGTACCCATCCTGCCACCTCAGAATGCTCTGGGCGTAGCACAGGGCAACAAGGAAGTCAGTCCCCAACAAACTGCCCTGGTTCCAACACCATGCATCTCAGCATGTAACCCAAGGACTTAGGAATGCATGCTAAAGGTGAGTGCAGGGTGCTGGTGGAGCGCAAAACAGAGGTGGGATGTCTGATCTGGGCAGGAAGAATTGGAAATCTGGGGAGGAATTTCCACAAGAGGTAGCATTGCCGCTGGGCCTTTGAAAACAGGACAGGGTTTGCTGCAAAGGCAAGAGGATCCTGGCAGGGAGTATAGCCTGGCAGAGGCACAGAGGCTGGATCCAACGTATGCCTGACGACTGGAGATCTGAGGTGGTGAAGGGTTTGCAGCAGAGGCCGTTTTCCCCTGTACCCTCTGCTACTGTCATCTGAGCCACTTGCTGGTCCCATGCCTCCTTCCCTGTCTTTGCATGAAAAATTTTCTCTTAGTCTCCACCCAAACATTTCCTGCTAACTGAAAGATGGGTCATGTGAACTCACCAGCTGATCAGGCTGCCTGCTCCTGTAAAGATCTGCAATCTTGGAAACCCCATGGAGTGGTTCTGCTCTGTCCTGTAGGGTCATTGAGGGTCAGAACCAACTCAGCGGCAATGGGTTTGGGTTTGGTTACTCCCCAAGCTCACTCGGGCTTTCCCTTGGCCCTCGCATGAATGTCATGGAGTTACCACTATTACCAAATCTTTCACATCAGATTTGCAGGTGGAGGTAGGGACTAGGTCTTTTGTGTGTGTGTGTGTAATAGATTACAATACATGCTTGAGATTGATGAATCTAAACCATATAGAGTGGTAAAGAAAAAAATTTTTAAAAACAAAACGAGTTTTTGTCAAGTTGGTTCTGACTCATGGCGACTCCATGTGTGTCAGAGTAGAACTGTGCCCCACAAGGTTTTCAGTGGCTGATTTTTCAGAAGTAGATTTCCAGGCTTTTCTTCCAAGGTGTCTCTGGGTGGACTTGAACTTCCAACATTTTTGTTAGCAGCCAAACCTGTTAACTGTACTATTCAGTGACTCCATAGAAGGGTGGTGCGTTGGTGGTGGTGGTGTGCCATGGAGTTGGTTCCGACTCATAGCAACTCTGTTCAGGGTTTTCAAGGCTGTAAATCTTTACAAGAGCAGAAAGCCTCATCTTTCTCCTGTGAAATAGTGCTGGTAGTTTCAAACTACTGATCTTGAGGTTTGTAACCATTATGCTACCAGAGAGCTCCTTATAGAAAGGTTGTTATTGTTGTTGTTAAGTGCCGTTGAGTTGGTTCTGACCCATAGCAACCCTGTATAGGGTTTCCTAGGAGCAGGTGGTGAGCTTGAACCTATGACCTTGCAGTTCAAACGGCTTTGCAGTCTGGAGCATTAACCCGTAGCACCACACCAGGACACCTATAGAAAGGTTGGTGGTTGTTGTTAAGTGCCATCGAATTGGTTCTGACCCATAGTGACCCTATATAGGGTTTCTGAGGAGCCAGTGGTGTATTTGAACCACCAACCTTGCAGTTCAAATGGCTTTGCAGTCTGGCACATGAATCCACAGCAGTTGTTACTGTTAAGTAAGATCCTCAGTTCTAACCCATAGAGTCCCTGCATAGGGTTTCCAAGGAGCAGCTGATGGATTTGGCAACCTTGCAGTTAGCAGTCCAGTGCTTATTCTACATAAATGCACAGAGCCTTGTAGATGGTAAAGGTTTTATTATCTTGAAAGCAGTGGGAAGTCATCTGAGAATTTTTAACTGGTTGAACAACAGAGATTTGAAGAGGGAGGAACTGGAAGCCAGGTGACCAGTCAGTAAACTGTTGGGGATGAGCTGTCTGCATTTGGGAGGGAGCCTTGGCAGAGAGAGGAGAGAACAGCAGTGGAATGCTGGGATACTCACACCAATGGGCTTTAAGGGTGAAAGGAGAAGGAGAGGAAGAGATAATGTCAAAGTTTTTGGTTTCTCCAAGCTGCTGCCCTGCATTATTAATGACAGATTCATTATGAGATCCTATTAATTTCTAATTTAAAGCAGAAGACGCCTAAGCCAGCAAAGTCTACACTTTGAAAAATCACATGGAGAAGATGGGACACTATGAAATATATTTGGAATTGTTTTCTTCCCTTAAATGCAATAAAATTACCAATATGTAGAATGGCAAAGAGATTTTATAGAACAATTCCTCTTAAAGTCCTCCTCACCCCCATGAGCGTGAGATGAGATATGTGGAACAGGGACAGACAAAAGAACACCAAAAAATAAGGCTGCTTCAAAGTGAAAAGGTTTACTGGTTGGGAGAGTCACCCTCTTAGGAATGAGATGAGCTGCAGTGAAAACAGACAGGCATAGTTTAGGACTCACATCTCATCTACCCAAAAGGCACAAGGGTCAGCATTTGTTGTGATCTACTCTAAGGCTTCCGATCTTCTCACACCCACTGGCATTCTGAAGACAGTAAATCCACTGCCATCAAGTCAATTCTGACACACAGGGCCCTGCATAGCGTTTCCAATGCTGTAAATCTTTACAGGAGTAGAAAGCCTCATCTTTCTCCCAGGGAACAGCTTTTGTCCTTGTGGTTAGCAGTCCAATGCTTGACATACAATAGCACCATGACTACTTCTGAAGACAATGGAAGCTGTGAATTACACAAATGTGCAAAAGTGAGGGGGTGTGATTGCACCAATTCTGAGTAATGTCCTGGTGTGGCGCTGTGGGATAAGCACTGGACCGCAAGGTCAGTTTTGAGCCACAAGGTTGGCGGTTCAAACTTACCAGTCGCTCCTCAGAAACTCTACACTACAGGGTTGCTGTGAGTTGGAACCAACTTGACAGCGCTTCACAACCACAGCAACAACAACATGATATGTAAGGTATTATACTAGACAGGGCATGCCATATACTATGAAATAGAAGACACAGTCCTACCCCTTCAGGATTTGTAGTCTATTGTGATTAAATAAGAGAGGCCTAGAAACATTTCTTTAAACAACCACATTATTTATTTTCTTTCTTACTGTAGCAATAAGTAGCAATAAAGCATTTGCCATTTCAATCTTCACGTGCACAATCCAGCCCCACCGGCCACACTCTCTGTGTTGCATAACCATCGCCACTGTCCATTTCCAGAGCTCTCTTTTTTTTTAAATCTCCTTTCTTCTCCCCACCCCATTTTTTTTTTCCTTTGCATAAAAATTCCCAATGGTTTACCCTAATGAGAAAATACATATACACAGTTTCTCTTTCAGTATGTGGAAGAAAAGAAAAAAATGAAAACAATTTCCTTTTTTTCACCTTTCCTTTGCTTGTTAACTGCCTTCCTGGTCACCCAAGTTAGCATGTGTCTACATGTGTTGGTGGGGCTGTGGGTTAATGCGCCAGACTGCAAAGTCATTTGAACTGCAAAGTTCATGGTTCAAGCTCACCAGCTGCTCCTTGGAAACGCTATACAGGGTCACTATGGGTCGAAATTGACTCAGAGGCTCGTAACAACAACAACATGCGTTAAGTGCCATCAAGTCAGTTTCAACTCATAGCAACCCTGTATAGGGTTCCCAGGGAGCAACTGGTGGAATTTAACCGCCAACCTTGTGGTTAGCAGTCCAGTACTTATCCTAGAGCACCACACCAGAGCTCCAGGCCTACACTCTACCCAGTGTACCTTCCATTCCATCCCTAGTTATCAGCTTAGAAAGTTTATTAAAGAATTAAAATCTTTTATTGACTTTTTACAGTGGTGGTCTCATCAAGTATCCGTCTCTTTGTGACCGACTCATTTCACTCAGCACAGTGTTCTCCAGGTTCCTCCATGCTATGTGGTGTTTCTCAGATTCATCCTTATTCTTCACTGTTGTGTAGTGTGCCATTGTGTGTGTATGGACCAATGCTTGTTCAGCCATCCCTCTGCTGATGGGTGTCTAGACTGTCTCCATCTTTTTGCTATTGTGAACATGTGTCTGCATTTAGCTATTAGTGTCATGGATCTCATTTCTGGAAGTTATACACCAAGTAGAGGGATTGCTGGCTCATATGCTATTTCTCTGTCCGGCGTTTTGAAGCAGTACCGTACCGTTTCTACAACAGTTGCACCATTTCAATCTCGCCAGCAGTGTAGGAGGGTCCCATACTCTTCACACCCTCTCCAGCATTTGTTGTTTTCTTTTTTTAAGTTTACTATTAATGCTGGAGTGAGATGACATGTCATAGTTGTTTTGATTTGCATCTCCCTAATGGAGTCCTGGTGTGGCGCTGTGGGCTAATGCGTCAGACTGCAAAGTCATTTGAACTGCAAGGTCAGTGGTTCAAGCTCACCAGCTTCGTCTTGGAAACCCTATATAGGGTTGCTTTGGGTCAGAATTGACTTGACGGCATTTAACAACAATGGCTAATGATCATGAGCATTTCTTCATGTTTGTTTACCTCCTAAAGTCTTCTTTGGTGAAGTGTTTGTTCATGCCCTTTGCCTATTTTTAATTGGACTATTTGTCTTATTGAGCATTGACGTTCTCTATACATTTTACATAGTAGTCCCTTGTCAGATATGTCATTGCCTAAAAGGTTTTTCCCAGTCTGTGGGGGTTTTTTTTTTTTTTCTCTTTTGAAACAACTACATTATTTATTCAAAATAATTCAGCAGGGTTTTAACTAACTACACTTAAAAGTAGATTTTGCACCTTAATTTCTTTTTCTGTTTCTCTCTTCTACCAGATAATTTTCAGGATCAGATGAAAAGGGAACTAGCCTACCGAGAAGAAATGGTGCAACAGTTACAAATCGTAAGATGCATTTCTACTTGAAAAATAAATGTAACTTGCTTTGGCTTGTTCTCAAACCAGGCCATGTGGATGAAAGTATTGATGTTTCTGCCATGAAATCCTTTGGTCCACTTACCTTTCAGCTGGTTTAGATGCTAATTACCAAGAGATTTACTTATACAAAGGATAAACAGATGTGTCAGTATGTTTCCCCTGAAACGTAAGCACCTACCATGTGTTAATAGACAGATGTCTATAGGCTAGCCACAGGTACCTGGATCTGCTTCCTCTGAGCAAACTTATACCCCAGTGCCCAGCAGTCACAGAAGTTCAGGGAAGGGAAATTGTCTCCCACTTTTCACTACTAGACTTGAGCCAGGCCCTCAGATATCAACAGAGCTTAGTATAAACACAATTACTCAACTACAGTCAGTTGAAGGATGATGAAAAGGAATGAAGTATTTCCAAATGATAAGTGGTTACTCACTTTGTCCTAATCATTTCTAAAAGTGGACAATGACTAAGATCTACTTATATAGGAACAGAAGGATGTTTGATAAATAAATCTGGGCTTGCTTTTTTTCCCCCTTTTCCCTTTGTTCGGATGTAGATGGATGCCTTTGGTGTTATTCATTGGTGCTTTTAAAGCAGTCTCCCCAGATTCCTCATTTTCCTGAATTGTTGTTAATGTTTTAGGAACCATTTTGACTCATAGTAACCCCATGAGACAGGGTAGAAGGCCCACACCAGGACACCATTTCAAGAGCAGAATGGGGAAAAAATTCTGCCCATATTCATTTGTTGTTGTTGTTGTTGTTGTTGTTAGTTGCCATCGAGTTGGTACCGACTCATAGCGACCCTATGCACAACAGAATGAAATACTGCCCAGTTCTGGGCCAGCCTACAATTGTTGCTTATATTTGTAAGATGTTTTAAACCACCTGGATAAAGATCTGCACTGATCCTTAGAGGTACTCCCAGCATGATTGCTATAATGTGGATTGCTTGACATTTTTGAGCTGGCCCATGTTTCCACTGTGTATGTATCTATGCATATGTACATATGACAGCCTGTCTGGTTTTCTGTCAGCATTCTATAAGATGGTTATTCATGTTTCTTTTCTGCATCAGAGAAATTGCATTTGTGTGAATGTTGATTCCTGAGAGGGTGTTTTAAAGTAATCTTGTATTCCATGGTGTTATCCCACAAGGTCAGCAGTTCAGACTCACCAACCGACCCTCAGATACCCTACACAGGGTCATTATGAGTTGGAACTGACTCAACACTTAACTACAACAACAGTCCCCAATCTGAGGGTTTTGTTAAGAGTGCCGTTGCACGATACTCCCACGGAGTGCTTCCTGAATCGCAAGTGTTCTCAGTTCCGAAGACCACTAGGCGAAGTGTCACTAGAACATGCTGTTGTTTCTTATTTAGGTTTTGCTTGTATGTTAGCTTTGTTTGCACCTAAATTCGCTCTGGAAATTGAAGAATTTGTTTTTTCATTGATTGACAAAAACAGCAGAAGTATCTTCTCTTCTTAGCTTTCGATACCTACATGGTTGTTGTTGCTGTTGTTAAGTATTGTTGAGTCAGTTCTGACTCATAACAACCCTGTATAGGGTTTCCAAGGAGCTGCTGGTGGGTTTGAACCGCTGACCTTGTGGTTCAAACTGACCTTGCGGTCCAGGGCATTATCCTACAGTACCACATATGGGGAATGTAAAATGTGAAACCAAAAATTAATCCTGTTGCATAGATTTACAGTATGTTACAGAGTAGAACTTTGTTACAGACCCTTTGAATTTTTCTGTTCAGCTCATTTCTTCAAGTTGTTTTAGCTTCTCTTAAGGTCAGCGGTTCGAAACTACCAGCCGCTCCACGGGAGAAAGATGAGGCTTTCTACTCCTGTAAAGATTTACACCCTCGGAAACCCTGTACAGGGTCGCTATGGGTCGGAACCGACTCAACAGCACTTAACAACAACACTGGAGAGCTAGTTTCAAAGTCTCCTCTGACATCCATTTTGGTCTTTTCTTTCTTTCCTGTCTTTTAAATAACCTTTTGCTTTCTTCATGTATGGTGTTCTTGATGTCTTTCCATATCTCTTCTGATCTTTGATCATTAGTGTCTAATACATAAAAGCTGTTCTTCAGATGGTCTCTAAATTCAGTTGGGATATATTCAAGGTCATATTTTGGCACTTGTGGACTTACTTTTGCTTTTTTCAGCTTCATCCTGAACTTGCATATGAGCCATTAATAGTTTGTTCCCCAGTCAGTCCCAGGCTGATGAGATAATGAGCTTCTCCATTATCTCTACCACAAATGTAGTCAGTTTGATTCCTGTGTATTCCACCTGGTGAGGTCCACGTGTACAGTCATTTTTATATGTTGAAAAAAAGTATTTGCAGTTAATACATCGTTGGTCTTACAAAATTCTATCATGTGATCTCCAGTATCATTTCTATCACCAAAGCCATATTGTACAACTACTGATGCTTCCTGTTTGTTTTCAACCTTTGCATTCCAATCACCATTAATTATCAATGCATGTTAATTGAATACTTGATCAATTTCAGACTAAAGAAGGTGATGGAATTCTTTAATTGCATCATCACTACCTTTAGTGGTTGAAGCATAAATTTAAATAATGGTTGTATTAACTAGTTTTCTTTATGTTGTTGATGTTAAGTACCGTCGAGTCAGTTCCAACCCACAGTAACACTGTATAGGGTTTCTGAGGAGTGGCTGGTGAACTTGAACCACTGACCCTGTGATTTAATCTGACTTTTCAGTCTAGTGCATTAACACACAGCGCCACACTAGGACTCCAGTCTTCCTTGTGCTGTTGTTGTTACGTGCCGTGGAGTTGGTTCCGACTCACAGCGACCCTATACAGGGTTTCCGAGGCTGTAAATCTTTACGGGAGCAGAAAGCCTCCTCTTTCTCCTGCGGAACAGCTGGTATTTTCGAACTGCTGACCCTGAGGTTAGCAGCCTGACTGTATGATATTTTCCTATCATAGACAGCACTGTACTTCAAGGTAGATCTTGAAATATTCTTTTTGACTATGAATGCTATGCCATTCCTCTTGAATTTGTCGTTCCCAGCATAGTAAACATATGATTATCAGATTCTAAATGGCCAATACCAGTCCATTTTAGCTCACTAATGCCTAGGATATTGATCTTTATGTGTTCCATTTCATTTTTGATGGCTTCCAGTTTTCCTAGATTCATACTTTGTAATTCCACACGTGTTTATTAATGGATGTTTGTAGCTGTTTCTTCCCATTTAGAACATTTCTCAACATAGCACATTACTCCTGGTAGCCAATTAAATCCACCGGGCAAAGGTAGAATTTTTTTTACCGCAGTCCCATGGGCATCATAAGGAGCCCAGGTAACACAATAGAACCATCAGGAGCTCTGTGGGAGAAAGACCTGGTGATGTGCTTCTGTGATGATTGTTGTTGTTGTGAAGTGCCGTCGAGTCGGTTCCGACCCATAGTGACCCTGTACAGGGTTTCCGAGGCTGTAAATCTTTATGGGAGTACAAAGCCTGATCTTACAGCCTAGAAAACCCTATGAGACAATTCTACTGGTTATTCAGGGTCACTATGAATTGGAATGGACCCAGTGGTACCCAACAACAATACCATAGGCGTCATACTCATGGTGGTGGCAGTAGTGGTAGTGTGCCAAGTTGGTGCCAACTCATACTGACCCTGTATATCTTTACTGGAGCAGAAAATCTCATCTTTCTTCTGTGAAGCCACTAATAGATTTGAACTGCTGACCTTGCATTTAGCAGCCCCGCTCGTAAATCCTCTGTGCTACCAGGGCTCCTATCATATTGTATAATTCCTAAAATCAGTGAAAGTACAGCCAGGCCGGCAACATAAAACTTTGTAAAGCAGACATGATATGTCCCTCCTAGTACTTACCTCTTTCTTGTGTCCCCAACCACAAGATGCCTTTGGGGTTCAGCCTGTCAGTAGCATCCAGCAGTGTCACCCTTCAAATGTTGTTCTGTACCATCGACCCCAGGTCCAGTAGGAAACAAATGCCAGTCCTACACCATCCTCGTGGTCTTTGTATGCTCAGGCTGGTTGCTGTGGTCATTGCACATTTCATGTGCCTTCCCACCCAGGGGACTCATCTTCTAGCATGAACCCAAGATAATATTCTCTCGTGATCCATAGAGCTTTCATTAATTTGTAGAAGTCGGTTGCTAGGCCTTGCTTCATAATCCTTCTTAGTTTGGAAGCTCTGCTGAAAACTGGTCCACCATGGACAACCCTGATGGTATTTGAAATACCAATGGCGTAGTTTCCAACATCATACCAATCATCAAGCCCAAAGTGTGACATATTGACGGATGGGTGGTGCAGAGCATCAATTACCCATCAGTAAACATTTGTTAAATGATTCACTGCCTGTGATGCACCAGACCTCCAAATGTGGCATCCTGACCCAACTCTGATGCTTCCATAGCGCAAGCCCCTTCATTCATTTCCAGATTGCCCTGTCTTGGGCTCGATTTCCTCAGATGTTCTTTAAATTTTTTTTATTATTATTATTGTGGTTTGGATGGAAGTTTACAGAAAACACTACCCTCTCGTGCAACAATATATATCCGTTTTCTTTGCTGACATTAGTAGCAATTCCCTCCATGTATCAGCACTCTTCCCACTTCCTCCCTGGCTTCCCCTTTTCCATGCATCCTTCTCTCCTGTCCCTTCATGCTTTCTGAACATTGTTTTTGGATAAACGCGACCCTTTTGTTCTCATGTGGTTGATTGTACTAAGGAAGTACAATCCTCATTTTCCAATGTTCTTTTGTGCAAAGAACTACTACCAAAACTATTAAAGGAAGACATACTAGTGAATTACAGGGAGCTTATGTAGTACTGCACTGTCTTTTTCAGTAACAAACGCAGCCTTTGAGGTCAGCAAACTTGAGTTCAAGTGCTGTCCCTTACAGTTCATTAAATGTCTGTTTCCTCAACCAAAAAG